CTTTCACAGACATGTCTAAACACAATAAATATAAACAACACATTATTCAAAACGTTTTACTTTTGCATTTAGCCTACTTCTAGATTTATATATTAAGTTGCTCCAGCAAGTGGCAAAACTACTTTTCTTACGTTATCACAAACTTACCATAGACAGAAATAGTTGGCTCTACTGCCTTTTCTTTTGCACTGCACTTTATTACAAGCAATCCTGCCGTTCATAAAGAACTTTGTTTTCCTACCTCCACGAGTGTTGTCTATTATTGCCTTCTTTATCTAAAAGTGCCAACCTTTCTTTAAACCTAGCCAACAAGCCATATGTGTTGACTGTGAAACACAGTAGACTTTAATAATATGCATTTATGGTGCAATTACTACATTTTCGTGTCAATCCATGTTCATGTTTACTGCAAACAATGCGATGTTACTTTAATTCTTCACTTGCAGTGCAGCAATAGACTCGGTGCGGAAACCATCTCTGCACTGCTGCAGACGCACCGCTCCTGGAACGCACTGACGGACCGCAACTGTGTGCAGTGTGAATGCTCTGATCCGTTAACAAGAGCGCAGAAAAAATACACACCGCATACGCACTGCAAACGGAGTAATGTGAACCTGCCGTTATGTGTATGCGCTGCGAGTGTGCATGAGCGTACGGTCTCCAGGAAAGCGCGAGAGTGCTGAATGGTTAAACACTGGCAAGAATTAAAAAGAAATGCAATTTATAAACTTTAATGACAACACTGCCTCAATTGTGCAAGTGATAATTCCTGTGTCAACTGTGCAGCGTGCAGCTCGCTTATTGACAGATGCGATGTGTGGTGATTTGAAGCCATTTGCGTAATTTGAGAGAGGGAGAGAGAGAGCGTGCGTGTGCGGTGATTCACTTACGCTGTTTGTGAAATTACATCTCACACAAGGTTTTCAAATTACTTTATAAGTTATTTAATGAAGAAATATGAAGGTGGGTATCTTACCTTCAGCATTATAATTATTTCACCCGCTCCGGACAGAGACTGAGACGGTGACGCTGCATGCCGTGCCAAACCTCTCACGTCAGCGTCATCAGCTTGAGATCGTTTGTTTTTAGATCGGCCTTTTTAGAGCCCGCCGATCAATCATCCCAACAGGATTATCGGCCGATTGTGATCGGTAGCCGATCAATCGGAGCACCCCTATTGCTCACACCAGACTTTTGATGGTAGTGACCGAGAAATTCTTGTGGAGATATAAAATGATGTACAATTATGCACATACTGTTGCATAATTTGTATGGGCCTTTAAAATGTACATGTGGTTTAAACCACAGGCCCTGTCATTTTATTCCAAACATGTTATAAATCTTGTTTCTATCCCAAAATGTCGTTAAACACAATAAATAAGTTGACATATGGTGGACAAATTTAATAAACGACTGAAGTGCTTATATGAAGTGCTAGGGAAATATAATGACATTTGGTTAACAGTGTGATATGTTTAATCAACTAAAACAAGTAACATACTGAAGTTCAGATGGAGCAGAGTCTGTAATGCCTCAGTACCAGATTCCCCGGAGCTACAGTTAAAGATGAACTTGCTACTCATAGATGTCCATTCTATTTACGTCAACCGTGGTGCCTAATGACGGGTGCTGGAAAATGGCTGAAATTGGAGCTAATGAATGAGAGAAAGAGATAGAACTCTGCAGGGAAGGCAGCATGTGGAACTGTACCGGGCTGAATCCCCCGCTCACAGACAAACATTAGCTCAGAGTCTAGACTGTGTTTCTGCCTTAGATGGAGGATCCCCAGAAGGCATAATAATAGAGAATGAGTTGCTCATGAGAAGACATGGCTGATTGCTTTTGTTGTCCTCTTCTATTTTAATTATCAGCCCTTCTTTTGTTCTGTGCGCTATCATCATTCAGCGGACTGGTATTATCTGCTACTTCACTTCTGCAGGGACTTATATTTTGACAAAAAGCCTCATTCCTCTTAACAAGTCCCGCTCCCTGCTATGTAGTCTTTGAGCATTATCGCTCTCAGCTGCGAAACCGCATTCACAATGGCTTTTGTCCGAGAGCATTGGGAGTGATTTCTTACTATTTATTAATTAATTTATATATTCTGTGCTGTTATTTGGTTTGTCAATGTTAATTTTGTTAACGAAAACTATGACGAAAAATGTTTGTTTATGAGCTTTTTTCCCCATGACTGAAACAAGACGATGACGAGACGACAAGGTTAATAAATGATAACTGTGAATTATTGCGAACTGCTGTACACGCCTCTATGTGTGCGTTCATGTGTGCGGTTGCCAGATATCAAGAATTTAAATCCCCAAATCAGAGCTTGTCTGTTAAAAGGCTACATTTTCTGCTCAGTGTTTTGCTTATTTTTTTGCAATCTAGTAACCATGCGCACATGCTCGCTCTTCATTGTGGAAGCGCTGATGATGATCTGAAAACGCCGACAAACAAGTAAGCTGGAGTTTAGCGATCTCCGTGTGAGGTGTTCAGCTTAAATGAAAGTGTCATTCATATTGTTTGCAATTGTGGTTGCTGAATTGAATACACTTACTCAACTGCTGTTGTTTTAATAGAGAAACATTAATGTCATTTGGAATTATTTAAATTATTAGGAATTTCACTGTATTCAAATTCAAATACTATTTTTTGTTTGTTTTACCAGTTTTTATTATATAGGCAGAGAGAGTGCATACGTTTTGATATTTATTTATATAATAAATAGACTATAATAAATTAGTATAATAGATGAGGTAAAATAAACCATGCGTGTGTGTCCACATTCTATTGATTTGTGCTTATTGGTGAAAGTGCAATACCTGAAATGCAAAAATAAATTTATCAAATGACAACAATCATTACGGTTATAATTTTTAGCAAAAATAATTTGTATCAGTTTAACCATTATACAGCATGATGGAATATGACTAAAATTTAATTGACTAAAACTAGACTAAAATGCCCAGACATTTAGTCGACTAAAACAAAAACAGGATGAGGTTGACTAAATATGTAATAACTAAAATGTACATTTGGCACATGACCAAGACTAAGAACAATTTAAAAGACTAAGAATAAACTAAAAATATCTGACAAAATTAACACTTGTGCCAATATTTCCCTCCTTCTAACAGTCATAGTGGTTATTTTATTTTATTTTATATTTTTTATTTTATTTTCAGGCTCTCTCATATGTGCTGTGAATGAATTTCCGGTCACTGGGATATTGAAACTGTTAAAATATGCTCAAGAAAAATGCTGCACTCTTTTTACTTAGCTATAGGGGAGAAACAAATCTACATTTTAATAGTAATAATATTTAAAATTATATTTTACAAATGTAATGTATTATTTGCAATACTTTTTCCTTTTAAAAACAATGCTGCTTTTAATAATTAATGTGTAATTTTTTTAACCAAATAATTAATCTGCTTTTATATACTGTCAAATGATCAACATGTATGACAAATATTTGTATAAATACTTCAGTTTGCTCTTGCATTAATTTAATTTTACCTAGCATGTAGAATATTTGCTTTTGCTTTTGTAGCGAATCAGCTCATGGGGAAATATGAATAATTAACCATAACTAGTTATAATTAACTATTCATATTTTAGATCCACTGTAGATATTTAGCTGACCACTCAGGGTCAACCGTCTTGTCAATTCTAAGAACGTTAATTTCCTGGTTAAAGGAAATAACCTTCTTACTGTACAATTCTATAAGTTTGTAACATAAATCTGCATGATTATTGACTGTTCTGCTTTTCTGAGGTGTTAGGTGCATTTCGGGGGAAGGGTCCATAGACCCTCGTAATTGGCCATTTGGTTAGGTGATGGGGAGTTCGATATTATTTGTTAAATATAACAAAAAGTTGTGTGTCTGATTGGTCCAAATGCTACACTTTTGTTTTGGGACAAAAAAAAAACTCAATCACAGGCAGCTGTGTGCAATGTAATATAATCACATTATGATAATTATGCAAAGTTTGCTAGATTAAGAGACAGATCTTCATCCTCTATGCAATCATTTGATGACTAAACATTATCAAATCACTTTCTGTAATGCCTTATTTGTTCTCTGAGTTCTGTTGTGTGACTTTATATAAAGAAGGTCTTAGTGTGGCGTGATGGTCACGTTTCATGCTCTGCCTCAGAGTATTGACTTGCTGGGATCAGCCTTTGCATCATAATCACTCAGTGAGTCAACTGAGGGTCGCCCCGCCCAAAGTGCTGTCGCTCATCGTCATACACACCGCACAGGACACAGTGGGATTCACTCGAGGTGAGCGGGTGGATTGAGAAAAGAAAGGTTCGGAGGAGGTAAATGAGGATGAAATCTTGTACACTGCCAGTGTGACGTAGAATGTGGCCAGTCCACCCATGCCACTCTTTGTTGCAGAGTGTGTTTACCATAGGACAGAATGCAATTTGCATTTATATAAGCTTTTTCATTAGGAGTTGGTCTCTGGGCACTCCAAAAGCATTAAGAATTTGTTGGAAATGTGGCAGCCAATTTGAAAAGGGAGAATAGACAGCACTTTTTTGTTAATTTGTATTCATACTTTTTTCACAGTATTTCTTTTTAGTGTTTATCAGCAATAAACATTTATATTTAATTGTTCATCTTTCCATAACTCTTACTTTTCTCCTTTTGTATAAACAATTCTGCAGACTTGTTTTCATCTTGGAGAAGAATGAGTAACATGCACCTTCGACTCAAATGCATAAATTCTTTCTTTGCTTTTGTCTACAACCACAGAGAGAGTTTTTCTCCTCTTTTAGTGTGTGCAATCTGAAAAGTACTGATATCAAAATATTATGAAATGTCTGGTGTTATAATTAGGTTACTTGTCCACAAGAATTTTATTTATTTATTCAAAGGAAGGAGTAATATGATGAACCAAATGATTTTAAGAAAAAAAAAAAAGTACTGCTTCGCTGTTTTTCCAACCAAGTTCAGAAAGCTGACTCTGATTCTTCTCTGTGTGTGTAGGTGATCAAGCTGACTTTTGAGGAGTTTGACTTAGAGCGGGGCTACGATACTCTAACTGTGGGAGATGGAGCTGTAATCGGCGATCAGCGGACAGTCTTTCATGTGTGAGTACTTTTGTTCCTCTTTTGCTTTCTTCTCTGTCGTCTCTCAAACTCCTCCCAGGCTGTGTCTCCCACTCTTAAAATCTCTTCTCTGTGTGCATAAACCTCCTCCCCATCTTCTTTCATCTCTCAGCGTTCCTCTCTTTCTTCAGCCCCTACGTTCTCTCCTCCTCTGCCGTTTCTTCCTTTAACCCCCCTCTATTTCATCTCATTTCATCAGCCCTCTGAGCAGAAGTGTACTGCAGAAATACCCCAAGCTTTATTGTCAATCGCTATGAGTCTCAATGTTAGAACAAGAACACTCCTGCTCCAAAACCACATCACACGTTGATGCCCCACAATGCAGATTTTCGCACCAGATGCTCCGGAAACGTTGCTGAGTGTGTTGTTATTAATTGTGCTGAAATTTATGGTCTTCATAAAGTTTTATCGATGCCATTTTATGTGCGCTCTCTGGCAGAGGTGTACAAGTGCTTGTGTTCCTTTTGAATGGCTGGTGTCCCTGGGCACATTCTCTCTGGTTACTCAGAGTCCCCTGATGGTCTAATGTGCTTAATTAGCAGGTCTCATATGCCCTTATGGACCAATTCCGCAGGTCCCTGAAGGCTAGTGCCGGGGGAATGAAGGAACTCCCTATGTTCCCTGAGAGGTGCCAAATGATAGAGCGCATATTGAAAGTGAAGAATGACTGTTTTATTGTCATGTTTTATAGTGTTTGTCTGTCTTATTTTGATTTAAGGTTGTCTGGGACTACAACTCCAGATCTGGTGGTCAGTACCAGCCATCAGATGTGGCTCAATTTTAAAACGGATGACACAAGTGGCTCCCTGGGCTTTAAGGTTTCTTACGAAGGTAAGTAAAGGAAATTCTTTGCATTTGGGTTCAGAGCGATCTTAAGGGAAAGTTCACCCAAACATGAAAATTGTCATCCTACTTACCCTCAAGTTGTTCCAAACCTCTATGAGTTTCTTTCTTCTGTTGAACACAGAAGAAGATATTTTGACATTTAGTATAGAGAGAAAATAAATAAATATATAATAATAAAAAAGATTGCTAATTAAAATAAATACATAAATAATAATAAAAAAGATTGTTAATAATGATATTTGTTTATATTTAACAACAACAACAAAACCACTACTACTACTACTACTAATAATAATAATAAATGTTTATTTTTTTATTTTTATGTATTTGTGTCATGCAACGTTTCCTATGTAAAAAAAAAAATCTTAATTTAATAAAAGTATTGATAAATGTGATAAAGAATGATTTAACATATTATTCACATATCACATTTAATGTAATGCAAAAAAATTTTTAACATTCCTACATTTGGCAATTATCATGTCATAGACTATTCTCAGTTGAAGACTCTTACCGTAGTTGTCATTGCATTGATGATCTATCACTGAAATCAACAAATGCATTGCTCTTTTTCCCTCCTCTCTTTCTGTAACACCATAACCACTTATGTCTCAGATGAATCAGATAGCTGGCCAGGAAAAGCCTTTGAATGCTTATTTATTCTTTGCTTAAATTACTCTTGATTGCATGTAATTTTTAGAGTGAAGCAGACATTTTATAATAAGCTCATTGGCAGACGTTCACATTGATGTTATACTCATAGCTAGTCAAATCTCGCACCTTATGAATTCCTCTGAGCAAATTTCTCAATTTTCTTGTAGCTTACTGCTATCTACTGAGTGTACAGAAACAGCCTCATTTTCTATTTCTCACTTCACCATTATAAGTTTTGCACATGTGGTGAGGGTCATCAAAGCAGCCTGTGATCATTTAACCTTGTTGGAATGAGGGCCATGGGGCAGGGAGGATATCATGCAAGAGTGGCTACTAATTTTCAGTTTTCAGAGTCTCTGATTGGAAATGAAAACACCGGAGCTTTCATCCTGGCCCTCTTTCAGAATTGCACCGCACATGGGGGACTGGCACATTTCATAAATTACAAACCAATATTTGCTGTCAGATACACAATAAGCCTCTAGGCCCTGAGTTTTTATGCATTTTATCCACTGCAAAAACAGAAGAAGAAAGTGGAGCAGTGTACATACCCCCCAACATAATTAAAACAATGAGAGACACTTAATTAAGTTGAGGATTCTCTTTGAACTTCCTGTCTGTGGGACAAGATGCACCCCTAAATTATTGCATCTCAGATTTTTCATATTTTCATATTTTATTGATCAGAAAGTCAATGCAGACAATGCTGGTTTTAAGCTAGATCCATACATAAGTACATGATATAGCGATACATTAATTTAATTAATCAAAACTAATCACGTATATCAATATTTACTGAGAAAATCCACCAAATAGAAAAGATTACTGTTGTATGTCCATTGGCTTTATATTGCCTATATGTACATTCCAATCCAAAATTGCTTACAATAGCAGGGAGTTTTAGAGCCCTGCATTTCAGCCCGAGCACGACGGGGCCCGACTTATTTACACCCCTAGAGCTGGGCTTCAGGCCAATGTTCATGTCATAGCTCACACGCGAGCTAACTAAACTAAAATAAATATAACTACTTTGCCATTAAAAACTAAACGGAACAATTTTAATGGCTGCAACAGTAGGCTGTGTAATGGGGAGGAGAAAAAAAAAAAAAAACAGTCACAAGCTCCAGTCGGACTCAGGCTGAGAATTAAGCGGGGGCTTAAGTGTCCTGGGCGGGCTAGGGCCTAGATTTGAGGCCTGTGCAGGACTTTAGAGAGTTTTCCTCATCTTCAGTGCAACAGTCTGCAAAGAAGTTAGATGATGTCAAGATTTGCTGGTTAATCATACCACATGTCAGCATGTTACATTGCTCTGAGGCTAATGGACGTCCGAGCATATTTGACGCTCCATTAAGAACAGGGCATCATAACTGATGACAAACACTCCGTTATTATTATTTTTTTATTTACGATCTGATCTCAGCCATAAAAGAAAAAGAAAAAAGACACACAGAAAGCGGGCTTGCCAGGGGCATATCCCCTTCTGCTCTTCACTAGAGGATTCACATTTAAAATGTCGCTTTCAAATTATTATTTTCTCACTCATTTTTTGTTTTCCTACGCATCTTCTGCATTAATATAAATCATAACTGGAGCTCCAAAGAGAAGTTGAATGGTAGTGTGCTGAGGGAGCTGTTCATGTCAATGTTTTCATAATATTTACTGTTGTCTTCCTGAAGTCTCTTTAATGTTGTGCTTAATATACAGTAAAAACAGCAATATTGTTAAATATTTTTACAATTTGTAAGAACCGATTTCTATTTGAATGTTTTTGAAAACTGTAATTTATTCCTGTGATGGCAAACCTAATTTCAGCAGTCTTAAGTGTCACATGATCCTTCAGAAATCATTCTAATATGCTGATTTGGTGCTCAAGAAACATTATTATCAATGTTGAAAACAGATAGGCTGCTTAATATTTTATATGTGCACATCCAGATCTGTATCACTGCTGCTTCTGCTTGTAGAGCGCATTTTGAGGATTTGAATTGTTATACACACTGCAATATGGCTGAATACAGAAGAAGTGAAGCCTATTGCCGACCCCAGGTGCATGCTGGGGGGAAAAATAATTCTTAACTCGTACGATGGGTAAAGATGAATGGATTTATTAGTACTTGTGCCTTCCTGTATTATTAGTAATCCTTCATTAGAAAATCAATGACTTCCATCTGTGTTCTCAGAGTTAAAAAAAAAATCAAAGTGACATGAATAAATCATAGGAAATTTGAAATGGGTAAATAACAAATGTCGCCCCTTATGAAAGTGCACATGTCGGCTCTCAGAGACAGTTTGTTTGTCACCAAGCCGGAGACAGCTGTAACAAAGTGTTAGCTGGGGCACTTAAAGAATCACGCATACATACACTCCCACAGGGATGACTTGCTGCGTAATATTTGTCAGCTCAAGAGACATTTTCTCTCACAATCCTCTTGCCTTAACTGATTGATATGGTCAGAAGTAAACTCAAGATGTAAATCCCAAGATAAAGGATAAAGATTCAGTCCAGGTAGAGGCCTGTCACCTGTCCAGAACTGGAAAAATTTTGCCTTCTCTGGCAGTATGTGGAGGTTGGCATCAAGGCACATCTAAATGTTTATACATCATCTGATGTGTTTAAGTGACCTAGGCATTAGAGAAAAACCTTTTTAAATCAAATATGTGTGTGAACACTATGCAATTTTATTCATGTTAGAGCATTATAACTTAGTAACATGCTAAGTCCAAACTCTATCAAGAGGTCAGTACAATTAGTGAGATGTTTGGGCTAGCAAAATAAACAATTAAATGTTGCCATAGAAGAATATATGTATGTATCTATCTATGTATGTATGTATGTTTGTAAGTTCCACAAATACCAAAGTTTCTTCATGGAACCATAGATGCTAATAAATATGTTTTATTTTTAATAGTGTACCAATAAAAGTATAGTACTGTTAGCTCCATTTAACTTATTGTGCAATGTCTACATTACATCTGAAGAATTGCGTAGTTCTCTCATGACAACTCTCAGATAGTTTAGCATGGTAATATACATGGCTATATTAAAGGCGCAATAGGAGATCTTGGAAAATGCTAACTTTAGCCTAATAGCACTGAAAGCGAATGTCCCACCCTCCGTGCAATCGCCGTCCAAAGCCACGCCCCCTGAATGCATATACACTCACTCACAGACCAGAGTACCAGAGACAACATTACTACAATAGGCCCAATTCCAGCCCATGTTCCGAAGTGAAGTAAACTTCAACGTATTTCCCCCGCTCAGTGAGGAGGGAGCAATGAACACTGTGTAGGGATCATATCGATCGGAACACAGTTCATGCACGTAGCTCACTTCTAACGAGCTGGTTATTTGAATCAGGTGTGTTAACTAAGCGAGACATTCAAAATATGCAGAGCGGGGGGCGCAAGGACTGGATTAATCGCTGGGCTACATCATGCGTCATCATGCGTCACACTCGGACCGAGCGTTTTGATTGGACGAACATATCTTGGTCCTACGCCTTCCACAAAATATATAAATACAGATGAATACATTTAGACCACTTAACTTAATGATTGCTATCGGGATGTGAAGAGACTTTCAACCAGCATAACAAAAAATGTTTCTGAAGACAATCACCTATTACACCTTTAATGTGTTTGGTCTTGACGGAGTAGATCTGCTATGCTGCTGCTGCTGCTGCAGCAGAGCAAGTACAGACTTGCTACTGCCAATACATCCACAGACATGCTGCTGTGAGCATTTAAGAAATACTGCTGCTGCACATATAACATGTACAATAACCCCACATATAAAGCATACATGAAAATATGCAGTAGCAGATCTATACAGGTGGAGCTGGGGAAGGTGGAGGGTTTCTGAAGCGCGCTGCAACTGCTACAGCAAGCACTAGCCAAGTATTTGAATGTTGAGCAGCAGGTTCATTGGCTGCTGATGCAACTAGAACCACTCGCCATGTGAATAATGATGTGATTATATCAGACTGAGTTAGAACCTATCAGTCTGCGCCATCTAGAGTTTCATGACAAAACTATGTATATAATCAGAACAGAAAATGTGAAAAAAGGTCTGTCTATGTATCTCACTTTCTTCTTCCCTGTAGCGCTCTCTCTCTATCTCTCTCTCAGTAGTGGCCTCTTTCTTTAGCTTTGGCCTTGTGATTCTAAATGAGCCCTGACATATTGAGACAGGTGAGGGTATAAGGGAACAGAGTGAAAAAAGGCAATTCATTAGGAGAGAAAGCCATTCACAGATGCCATTGGGGCAGCAATGGAGGTAGTTTGCATGAATATGCTTTGCTGTCAGATGGAGTGAGTTGGAAAGACGTAAAAGAGTATAAGGCTTATATACTATGTGTAGGTGTGTGTGATTATGGAAAAATCTTTTGATTCCAGCAGATTTGATATAGAAATGGTGACACAGATGATATATATATATATATATATATATATATATATATAACAACATGCAGTTTTTAAATGAAGGTTTCTGTTATTAAGGGAAAACAAAATCCAAAACCACATGGCCCTGTGTGAAAAAGTGTTTGCCCCCTAAACCTAATAACTGGTTGGGCCACCCTTAGCAGCAACAACTGCAATCAAGTGTTTGTGATAACTTGCAATGAGTCTTTTACAGCGCTGTGGAGGAATTTTGGTCCACTCATCTATGCAGAATTGTAATTCAGCCACATTGGAGGGATTTGGAGCATGAACCGCCTTTTTAAGGTCATGCCACAGCATCTCAATAGGATTCAGGTCAGGACTTTGACTAGGCCACTCCAAAATCTTAATTTTGTTTTTCTTCAGCCATTCAGAGTTGGACTTGCTGGTGTATTTTGGATCATTGTCCTGCTGCAGAACCCAAGTTTGCTTCAGCTTGAGGTCACGAACAGATGACCGGACATTCTCCTTCAGGATTTTTTGGTAAACAGCAGAATTC